ATCAAACAAATCAAAATTTGTATTATTACATGTTTTTAAAGATGACGATCTGTTAATTCGCCATATGTATGTACGAGATATGTATTTAATTATTAAATACATGTTTTAAAATTTTTTAAATTCCGCTGCATATAGCTCGTACGGTACAGGCGAACCCAACATATCAATCATACCATCTTGTGCATCTCTCTCTCTCATATCTATTTCAATCTTTTATTTTAGTTATCTTTCCCATCTGTCTAACATTCCTTCCAAAATTCCCTATTTTTCGACGATGCCTAAATCCAAGCAGGGCACCGTGAAGCCGAAGAAGAATGTTTCTCCGCCATCTCGGTGCTCAACTCGTCAAAGCCAAAGTTCCGATACTCCACCAGATCCAAATCCTTCCACCATGGAAACCGAGAACATTCAACCTTCCATCAAATCCACAACTAGGGTTTCTCCAAGCCCAAAAAAATCCTCAACGACTAAAGCTTCTCAACCTTAAGTCACCGAACCCAGGGACAAAGGAGGAAAAGGTTCTCCGTCTGTCGTCAAATCTCCAAAGAAACGCAAGAAAGTCGCTGAAACCGTCGCACCCAACACCAAAAAGGCGAAGAAAGTCGTTCATGTGCCTGAACCTGCTGTTGGTACTCCTTCTCACACGAAATCTGGAGGAGAGTCATCTCCAGATTTTGATGCTGATTCTATTGAAAGTGAGGTTACCAACTATGTTGCTGAGCCTGAGAAATCTGACAGCAAACATGCTGCGGACAAGGAACTTTCTCCTCTTGGAAAAGAAAAAATCGTTGCTGAAGTCGAGGGTGATGGTCCAGACAGTCCTCTTACTGTTGGTAATGCATTTTCTCGTCAGTTTTATTCTCCTTTGGCTGAAACACACTTTTCTACCATCTTTTCTCAAATGAAGTTTCGTCCTGAGCGGACGATTGAGAGCGAACACTATGAACAACTTGGGTTGATTGAACTTCTGAAGAAAGTGGGTCTTGAGGGCTCAATTACGTTTGTTGGAAAGTATTGTCCCAGGCTTGTTGGTGAATTTTATTCGAACCTGACTACCTCTATCGTTGATTCGTCCTCAAAGAAGTTTCAGAAAGTGTTTGTGCATATTAGTGTGGTTGAATTCTCTCCGTCTGTTGCGAACTCTGTACTGGGTTTAGCTGAAGGTTCCTCACTTCGTCCTCTGACTGATGATCTTGATGAAGTTTTTCGCACCTTAACTGGTGGACAACTTAGCAAATGGCTTGCTCTGAGAATCTTTGTGAAAAGTCTGACTCCGCCTGCCAATGCTGTACAGAAGATAGGTGCGTCTAATTGGACTCCTACCACTCACAAGCAGTTTGTCACCCCTACGCAAGCTCGTGTTATCTATTGTATTTTGAATGGTACCCTATTTGATGTTGGTTCTGTGATCTTTGATGTTGTGGTAAGCTTTGCGGAGATCTCCAAGCCTCATAAGTTGATGTTGTATCCATATACCATATGTGCTATTCTCTTTAAGGCTGGGGTGAAAATGGATCCTCGACTTGGTGATAGTTATGCCCCTGTTAACAAACCTCTTGCCCTTGCCGGTGTTAAGGTTGCTCCGCCCCGTCCTTCTCTTGTTAAGGCCTCTGATGTACCTTCACAGCTTCTCGGATTTTTAAATCATCAAGTGGCAGTTTTCGCGGGGCTTGAAAAGAAGTTTGCTAATCAGAGAAGGTACTACAAGGAGGTTCTGGGTGCTTTGAAGTCTCGTGCCCCGTTGGCCCTTAAATCGAAAAAGGGGGAGAAAAAGATGAATATTGTTGCTGCAAAGAAGAAAGCTCTTGCTAGGGGGATGTTCGTTCCATTTTTGTCATGTTTTCCTTGTTTATTTTGCATTTATTTTTTCCCATTCTAGGTTATTTTCTTTGGTTCTTGGTCCATTGTGTGTCGTGTCGTGTGTTTTCTTTATTTTGTTCGTTTTTAGTTTTTCTTGTTTCTTTTTCTCGGCTTTCTGCATTTTTCTTGTCGGTGGTGATGTGCAGGATAGGTGGTTCGGTTCGGAAGTAGCCACGCGAGGATAATTATCTAGACGGATGAGTTGGGGTCGAGTAGGAAAAGATGGAATCCAATTCCGAGTCTAGATGCGTGAATACAAGCCCGGAAATCACAGCCATGTCACAGAAATCCTTCACCGCGGCCCGCGACGTTGTTCCCGCGGCCGCGGTGAACAAATCATGCCCAGCGCCCAGTTTTCATCACCGCGGCCGCGGAGGAGGAAGTCGCGGCCGCGGAGGGCCCAAAAAATTAAAACCGGTGGACAGAGATGAAAAGTCGCGGCCGCGGGCGGCCGCGGACCATTCCTTCACCGTGGCCCGCGAGCTTGTCCGCTGCCGCGGAACGCGCGATTTAAAAATTTTAAGTAGCAGATTTCTTTTCAAACGATTCATTCATGTTTTGAAGCTAGGTTTTCATTCTTTCTCGTACTAAGAACTCCAGAACTCAGACTTTCCCCTAGTTTTCGGAGAAATTCATCATTGAGAGTGAAAAACTTCAAGATTGTTATTCCCGGATTTGTTTTCTCTTGGTTTTTGACGTTGAACCTCGTATTAATTGTAAGCTTTTATTCTCGTTTACTCATGAATTTGATGGCTTTGTTTAATATGATTGTTGATGTTGAATGCATTATGAGTAGCTAAATCCTTTAGCTAGGGTTAGGGGAAGATCGTTCCGGTTCGATTTCGTTTATATGCATGATAATTTCTCAATCCTCTCGAGTTGTGCTTAGCCTAGGGTTTTGATGTTTGATCACCATCTTAATCTAATTAATTTATTTTAAAACTGAAAAGGTAGAAATCGTTCGATCTAAGCTCGTTAGGAATAAGCTTGTTCGTAAAAGTATTGCTTATGTGTTGATTATTTCAAGAATTACTCGTTTATGTCTATCCTCTTGTTACGAAGAGTTATTGAGGATAGATCTCTAGATGTGTAGTTTAGCGAGACATTTAACCGAGCTCTTGATTGCTTGTTAAGTGTATTGAGAACCGGAATTGATTGACCCCGATACCCTAGCTCATTGTTCATAAATTGAGTTTGAGTATTAAGTTGTGACCTTGTGATTCCTAGTTTTGTCTAGCTTTTTCAATTAATTGCTTTTCAATTAGTAGTCGATAAACAAACCATAAATCTTGAATAGAATGTTTAGGATTTCTTTTTCTCTTTTCATGTGATAGAATATCCGTACAAATAATCCGGCTAACCTTCCTTGAGAGACGACCCGACGTTCGAATCTTTTGATTTGACTCCGGTAAAAATATTTACCACAAATTGGCGCCGTTGCTGGGGAGGGTTTAGGACTTATTTTGTGCGCCTATTCATTTATTTTCAGTGTTTCTCTTATTTTCTGTGATTTCTTGTTTTTGTGTTTCTTTTGTTTTCTTTGTCTAGTTCTAGTGTTTTCTTTGTTTTGATTTCTCTTCGTTCTTTTTGTTGTCTATCTGGTGCCCGTGAAGTTTTTGTTGTTTGTGTTTATGCGTACCAGGAGTGGTCGTGTAATCATCCCAAACGACGAATCCATCCAACAGGACCTACGAGACTTACTAGCCAGTCTTGCACCAGTATCATCTACATCAGAAAACCAAACCGACATGGCACAGAATGAGCAAGATGAGGAGGTTAACAATCTTCCTAAGTCTCTTCTTCGCGATTTGGCTCAACCGGTGATTGGGCCAGTGACTTCGTGCATCCGACTGGGGACAACAGCTCGGAACTACGAGCTCAAAACCATCCACTACAACCAACTCCCATCCTTCCATGGTCTTCCCAATGAAGATCCACTTCATTTCATGCGTGAATTCTATAATGTCCTCCAAACATTTCCACTCCACGGACTAAATGAGGACCAATTGAAGATGAGGTGTTTTCCAGAAACACTCAAGGATCGGGTTAAGGCGTGGCTGATGACACTTGATCCAAACTCTCTTACCACTTGGGAGCAAGTGTACACGAAGTTCATCGGGAGGTACTACTCCCAAGTGTGGGAACGCTTCAAGGACCTACAGAGACAGTGCCCACATTACAATCTTCCTCCGGCCCTTTTGATGAATGGCTTTTATGATTCTCTCCACCAGAACCTTCAGTACATGGTGGACAATGCAGCTGGTGGGGACATCTGGGCGGGAACAGCAGAGGAGATGATGGATATCTTTGAGGCGTTGAGTTCTAACTCGTCTCAAAAGAGCAGTCGAGGGAAGAGAGCGGTGGTGAACGAGGCATCTCCAAGGCAGGACATGATGGCCCATCAGATAGCCAAGCTTACGGAGCAAATGCGACTAATGAATGCTCGGACAATGCAGCCAGTACAAACCATGGCAGTTGATACATGCGGAGCTTGTGGAGCTCAAGGGCACAGGTCGGAGGTGTGTCCATCGGCATTCGATCAGGACCTTGGAGAGCAATATGCAAACGTCAATGCTCTTCAAGGATATCAGAACCGGCAGCCCAACGACCCATTCTCCAACACTTACAATCTCGGGTGGAGAAATCACCCACACTTCTCGTGGTCCAACAACAGCAACACCCTCCAGCCACCTCGCCCAAACTTCAACCAACAGCAACCCCGTCCAAACTTCACGCAACAACAACCTCGTCCCAATTTCATTCCTCGTCCGAACTACCAACAACAACAACAACCTCAACAGCCAGCCCAAGGGTCCGGTTCAAGCTCGTCAAACCAAGATGACAAGCTGGACAAGATCCTTCAGTTTATCACCAACCAAGACTCGTCCATTAAGCGTCTTGAGACGCAAGTGGACCAATTTGCCACGAGAGTCGGGAATATGGAGGCCGAGTCTGACAAAAGGAAAACTTCCGAGCCAGTCTGAGCAAGCCAAAGCAATAACAGTGTTGAGAAGCGGGAAAGAAGTTGACAACAAAGTGAAAATACCCGAGCCCGATGATCCAAAGCCAACAGACCAACCTAAAGAAGCAGTGGAGAGTGCGAAGAACACGGAAGCTGATTTATAGAAGCCGACGGACGGCCCAATGTTGCACAAGTCTCCAAACCCTTACAAGCCACGCATCCTATTTCCGAGTAGACTCCGAGATGAGAAGCATGAACAACAATTCCGAGATCTCTACAACATGCTCTCAAAGGTCAACGTAAACTTGCCTCTCCTAGACGTGATCAAGAATATGCCCTCGTATGTGAAGTTTTTCAAGGACTTGGTTACAAAGAAGAGGAAGTCTGGCGATGGGGAGAAAGTAGTGGTTTATGAGACGGCAAGTGCTATGCAGCATGACTTGCATAAGAAGGAACGAGATCCTGGGGGCTTCATGATTAAAATAGCCCTCGGGAATGGGAAAGAAGCTTCGGGTAAGCTAGACCTCGGAGCGGGAATCAACCTCATGCCATTCTCTATCTTCCAGCGGCTCGGTCTAGGAGATTTGAGACCCACTCGCATGTGCCTACAGCTCGCAGACCGTTCGATTAGATACCCCAAGGGGGTAGTGGAAGATGTCCTTGTTCGAGTAGGGAGACTCATAGTTCCGGTGGACTTTGTGGTGCTCGATGTGGGGGACGTGCATGAGAACGGGAAAGACCATACCATTCTTCTGGGCCAACCATTCATGGCTACCACCAATACGCTCATTGACGTGAAAAATGGGACCTTGAACATGACGGTCCTGGGCGAGTCTGTGTCAATCTATGTTCGAGAGGCCACATCTGGCCCTTCGGCGAACTATGTGGAGGAGTGCGCGTTCATTGATGTCAGTGACCCGCTCATCGAAGAGAGGACCATACGAGACTTGGAGGAGAGGTTGATGCCCGGTCTCGAAGAGGAAAAAGGATCATTTATTGAGCTGATGGAGGTCGAAGAGCCGAGATCGAAAGCCCCACCAATGCTAGAGTTGAAAGAGTTACCTCGTCACCTCAAGTACGTCTTCCTTGATGATGAGAAGCAAAAGCCGGTTATCATATTTGCCGAGCTTAATCAGGACGAAGAGAAGGAGCTGATCAAGGTGCTTAAGAAGAATCAAGAGGCCATTGGCTGGAGCCTAAGTGACATTAAGGGCATCAACCTTTCCACGTGCATGCACTGGATCATTCTGGAGGTGGGTGCTAAGCCTTTTCGGGACAATCAACGGAGGCTCAACCCGAATATGATGGAAGTGGTAAAGAAGGAAGTGCTGAAGCTCTATTACGAAGGGCTTATCTATCTAGTTGCCGACAACGAGTGGGTGAGCCCCATTCATGTGGTGCTAAAGAAGGGAGGCATTACAGTGATTGAGAATGAAAGAAAGGAGATGGTTCCCACCCGCATTACCACCGAGTGGAGGATGTGCATTGACTACCGGCGACTCAATGCCGTGACCAAGAAGGACCATTTTCTGTTGCCGTTTATCGATCAGATTCTCGACCGACTCTCCGGCCACCAGTTCTATTGTTTCCTAGACGGACTCTCGGGCTACTATCAAGTGGCCATAGCTCCGGAGGATCAGCCCAAGACAACCTTCACTTGCCCATTCGGCACATTTGCTTTCAGACGGATGCCTTTCGGCCTATGTAATGCACCTGGGACCTTCCAACGGTGCATGTTCTCCATCTTTTCTGATATGCTCGAGGACTGCTTACAGGTATTTATGGATGACTTCTCTATTTTTGGTACTTCATTTTCTAATTGTCCCCATAATTTATCTCGTGTTCTTGAAAGAAGCATTGGGTTGAACTTGACTTTGAGTTGGGAGAAAAGTCACTTTATGGTGACTAGTGGTGTTGTGCTAGGTCATGTGGTGTCTAGTCGGGGGATTGAAGTTGACAAAGCTAAAGTAGATGTTATTGTAAAACTTCCCCCGCCTGTGAATGTAAAAGGTGTTCCAAGCTTTTTGGGTCATGCTGGCTTCTATAGGAGATTTATTAAGGACTTTTCAAAAATTAGCCAGCCTTTGTGTCACTTGCTTGCTAATGATGTGCCTTTCGTATTTGATGATGCATGTGTAGATGCCTTTGCTAAATTGAAGAATAAGCTTGTGAATGCTCCTATCATGATTGCACCTGATTGGTCTTTACCTTTCGAAATTATGTGTGATGCATTGAACCTTGCTGTGGGGGCCGTTTTGGGCCAACGAGTTGATAAACTGCTTCGTATAATTTATTATGCTAGTTTGACTCTCAATGGTGCCAAATTGAATTATACTACCACTGAGAAGGAACTTTTAGCTGTTGTGTTTTCTCTTGAAAAATTTAGGTCTTATATCTTGGGATCTAAAGTAATTGTGCATTCAGACCATGCAGCCCTTAGGTATCATTGGAGTAAAACTCAATCGAAACCTAGGCTTATTCGGTGGATTCTTCTTTTGCAAGAGTTTGATGTAGAGATTAGAGATAGAAAAGGGTGTGAAAATGTTGTTGCTGATCATTTGTCTCGTATTGTTCCTTTTGCACCTCACTTGCATTGCATGAGCATGTTGGTATAAATGATGACTTTCCATATGAGCATGCGAGTGAAGTGACTAGTGTCCCTTGGTATGCTGATATTGTCAATTACTTGTCAGACGGTGTCTTGTTGGCTAACCTCTCTTCCCAAGAGAGGAAACGTTTTGTGTTGATGTGTAGGAGTTACTTTTGGGATGACCCACTCCTTTTCAAGGTGGGGAAGGATGAGATTCTTCGGAGGTGTGTGCCCGAAGAAGAGCAATTAGATGTCCTTACCTTTTGCAACGAGCTTAACTGTGGAGGTCATTTTGGAGGACGAAAGACCGCCTTTAAAGTTCTCCAATCAGGTTTATTCTGGCCAACCCTTTTTAAGGATGCTCATAATTTTTGTAAATCATGTGACCGATGTCAAAGAATTGGGAACATTGGTTCTAGAAATGAAATGCCCCTTGTGAACAATTTGCAAGTTGAGATTTTTGATGTTTGGGGCATTGATTTCATGGGACCGTTTCCCAAGTCTTTTGTGTTCGAATATATCCTCCTTGCTGTAGATTACGTGTCCAAGTGGGTCGAGGCCATCCCCACACGGACATGTGATGCTAATGTCGTTATAAAGTTTTTGCGAGGAAATATCTTGAGCATGTTTGGATTTCCACGAGCCATTGTGAGCGATGAGGGTAAACATTTCTGTAACCGGATTTTTGAGAAGTTGATGAAGAAATACGGAATTTCGCATAAAGTGGCCACCCCGTACCATCCACAGACTTCGGGTCAAGCAGAAACGAGCAACAAGCATATTAAGACTATTCTTGAGAAGACGGTGAATTCGTCTAGGAAGGATTGGTCGAGCAGGCTCGATGATGCACTCTGGGCCCAAAGGACGGCATACAAGGGAGTATTGGGGATGAGCCCGCTCTGGCTCGTCTACGGGAAATCATGCCATTTGTCAGTTGAGATCGAGCACAAGGAATTCTGGGCAATCAAAAAGATGAATTTTGATCTTGATGCTGCCGGGAGAGAGAGGATGCTGCAACTCTCTGAATTAGAAGAGTGGAGAAATGAAGCCTACGAGAATTCCAAAATTTACAAGGAGAAGACAAAAAGGCTTCATGATGCCACTCTTGTTCGAATGAACCGCGAGCCCGGAATGAAGGTACTTCTCTTTAATTCTCGCCTTCGTCTTTGTCCCGGAAAGCTCAAGTCACGTTGGAGTGGGCCGTATATTGTTGATGAAGTGTTGTCATTTGGAGCTGTCCGTTTGCGTAATCCGACAAACAACGATTTATTCTTGGTTAACGAGCAGAGAGTGAAACCATATTTTGATGGCGAGTTCGGAAAGAGACATGTCGAGACCGTCAGTCTCGGTGACCCTATCTATGCGTGATCGAGAAATTATGCCGAGCTCTCGCCATTAAACCGAGTATCCCGACATTAAACAAAAAAAAATTGCAGGTCGCAGCCGAGGAAGATTTCTTCACCGTGGCCGCGGCGAGTAATCGAGACTCAAACGTGCAGCAACAGGCTTAAAATTCCGCGGCCTCGGGTATTTGTCGCGACCGCGGAGGAAGGTCGCGGCCGCGGATGGTTTGATCGTCGCGTGTAACACCCCGCCTTATCTTAATTATCAGAGTAAATATTAAAATCTTTAATTAAAATATTTGAAAATCGTGATTCGGAGTGCAACTAAAATCATTTACATTACATTGAAATCTGTTACAGCTGTTTAATTTTTAAAGGAAAATAGATTTATCATAATATACAATCCGACTGTAGAATCGGATAAAAAAGGATAAGTTTAACAAACAGTTTGATCAGCGGAACATAGCGTGGCAACCATAATATGTACAATCAAAATTTTGATCCACTCGTCAATCTCACAGCTCCAGACCGACTCCGTGACCTGAAAAATATGATAAAAGTGGGATGTGAGTACCACTGTACTCCGTAGGAACTCATACTACATGACTGTGAACTTCCTAGTCAACAGTATAAATCGGACCAGGACCCGTGAATCTACCGGCTGCCATGATAACATGATAATAATAATGATAATGATAAACTCAGCCGGAATCCATGTGCACATACTAGTGGGAGATGACGCCACTAGAACCCAGAACGGAATTATGGCAACCTGAACCGGCCAACATCCATTCTAAGCGGAACCATAATTGACATACCTTGAACATGATACCGTAATTATAATCAATGTAATACCCAGTCTGAGTCCCCACCTGTACTGAAGATATGAAATTGGAAGTGCTGATGTCGTGAACTGGTCAAACTGTAACATAATATAAACAATTACTAAGTACTATGCTCGGATTCAATAATTTTTAACTGTTAAGATGCTCGACTTGATTTAATATGATATCTCGACTTAGCCAGTATAACCAGAATCGAATAAATACTGAAACCGAGCTGATATGAATTTACTGAATATTACCGGATTCAGAATTTGACTGAAAATTTGACTTGATTATAAATCGAGCCATCCAATATGAAAGCTAACCCAAACCGATCTAAACCGGCCGATTTGTTGAATGGTCGGACAGCCGGCCTACCGGGACCGGACAGTCGGCCGCTGACTGAGCCAATTGGCATGAACGACCGTGATCGGCCAATGACTGGCCTGTTGCCGGGCCAAACTGGCGCAACTAGGCACGACTGAGCCCGACCGTGGCCAATCGCACGTGCCGTCATACGATCGGGCGTGCGGTCTGGCGAACTGGGCACGGACAAGCGCCAACTGGGCACTGCTGGTGTAACGCCCCACTTATAATTGTCGAAAATCAGAATAAATTTTCAAAATTTATTTCGAAACATTTGAGGCACTACTCATTTTCCAACTCAATAATCAATACTTATCAATCATCAATACTCATTCATCAATAATCAATAATCCCAATAATCAATAATGCAATCCAAGCATTCCAATAATCAATATCCTAGGGAATACACTCCATATCAATAATCCAATAATCAATAATAGAGAAATCAATAATAGCAATATACAGTTCAAGGGGGAAGCAATTTCAATAATATTAAGACCGCCACTCGCATCCCTCCGTCGTGCCCGCAATACTAACCTGCATCCAAGAAGAGCAGGTGGGGATGAGCACAAGAGGAAAAGTAGTGCTCACCACTATGCAGTAAATGTTAATCTCAAAAATAAACAATATTCAATAATCAAAAGGTATGGTCTCATCATGTATACGAAACAATAAACTATCCCATTCTCCCATCAATAATCACAATCATCAGACTCATGTGCACACATACGCATAGACTACTGCTGATACTCGATTCGAATGCCAAGACCTACGAATTGGTCTTACAACGATGCCCAACAGTAGGAGTAAACCACCCCGACAGCCAAAACCTACGAATTAGTCTTACAATCGGGGATCACCGGCCAGAACCTACGCCCTCGTCTTAC